TATATTCGTATATAATGATTTTCGTTTGATATGGAATACTAGTAAATTCTATATTTTAATATGAATCAAGATTAAAGCCCCATCAGCCCCTTCCCCTACCGGTTGCACTCCCAATATTAAGCCCAAATAAGGAATGTGTCTACGATAACGCCACTGAAATAAACCACCCAGTAATATTGACCCGAATAAGGTGTCTCCCGGTATCCGAGTTTCCAAACGGGACTCTACGCAGGCACACCTGGCAACATGGAGAGTGAGCGGCGAGATGTACACATTTACATACTGTAAAACACGATGATGGACTTCGAATGCGCGCAACACCTGTGTGAGGTATTTTTACTCAGGCTTTTCTTACGAGAGTTTTACACTTTCACTCGGCTATTTTGTTCAATAAACAGGTTCTAAAATCATTTGCTAGTCATCAAAGGAAAAGTAAATTATTTTTACATAACTATATGTTATATCTACAATATTGCGTTTGCTAGTTTATTTTTGGAGACAATTGGCTGCACTTCCCCGATCTTATATAGTAGAGGTCAGCAATGTATGCGACCGGGAGAGGTGGCTCAGGGCATCAACTAATGTCATTGATGTCACACAGTGCCTCTGACCGGGAGAACCGGTCGAGTCGCAACAGTGGCAGGATTTTCAACACTAGCTTGTCAGTATGGTCGAATTCAGTCGCTGTCTGGAGGAGAATTCTGTCGGGCGGCTGCTCTGATCGGCGGTTTTTCGTGGTTTCTCCGATCAACACCAGGCGAATGCCTTATTTTATCCTTATCCCTTATTTACACACACACATACACTAACATGCACTACACTACCACACATGCCGGGAGACCGGTCGGGAGCTTAGAGCTTGTCCAGACTGGGCGGTGCCCCGCTAGTGGGAGATACTTTGTTGGGTAAAACCCAGTTAGCCGAGGGTATGTCGGCGTTCAATTTCGCCATGCAGCAGGGGAATATCACCACCATCTTCCGAGAAAAAACATCCTCTACACTTACGGGACTAATGGCCTTAGCATTTGAGGCACCCGGCCTCACGAACAATTAATCAATCAATGAATATATGTATGCGAGCTACTTAATAAAATTTTTAGCTATGGAAGATTTTCTGTGAAGATTGGGAAACTAAAAAAGCATGGTTAGTTATTTAAATGTCTTTGTGAGAGAGAATATTACTGAAATTTAAAGCTTTTTTTTCTGCAGCTTTTTAAACGATGAGGGTATATCATTACGTCATGTTTAAAATGGTGCGCTTTTCGGTAACAGTGCACTTGAAAAAAAAATCGATCTTGTTAATGTGACTGATTACTGACCGCTGATCCGTCTGCCATGCGCTGCCGTCCTGCTATGATAATCTCAACACAAAGCACCAAAATATTGTTTTCCAAAATTACACCCGAGATAACTGAAATTACATGCCGGACGTGTCGTTGACGGCCTACTATGACATTGAAGTGTATAATGTTTAAACGGCTATAGTCTTGCTTCTTCGTGATTAACATTAATAAAGAAAACCCGAAAGCTTTGTATGTTCGATAAACAAAAGACTATTCATACTATAATAATATAATCATGAAAATTAACGTTGCGCAATCATAAACAAATAGAGTCCAAATCTTAGTAGACCCTTCTCAATAGGGTCGCGACCCTCCGTTTAGGACATTTTATAAAAGTCTTCTTTCCGTATTGCTTTTACTGAAATGAACGCGTATGATGTGTTCGGGGAGCGGTCGAGAGACCTTCAGGTAGCGGCAATTGGAGAAGGACAGAGAAAAAGGGGAGATCGAGGGGAGATCAAAGCCGACGAGGGGATCAAATGAATTCGAGATAGAAGGAGAAAGTGAAATGGATGTGGGGGAGTGACTGGAAGAAAATAATCGCAAATAGCATCACCTTAACCTTTATTAGGGTAATATTTATTTTTGAATGTTTCTTAGTATTATTGTTTCTACTATGAGTCATTAATTTTTTAATTAGCATGTCGCTTATTTATTCCCAAACCGGAACACTGTTCCCGTGTTCATCACACTCGATTCTAAGTACGAATAACGGAAGGGGTATGTGTAAAAAAAAGCTACAGACTACTGAAATGCATAATGGTATGAAAAACTTGACAATTAATGTAATATAGAAAAACTGACATCTCTAAATATTAGGATTACAGGAATATCAAGTGGATTAAAATGTGTTGTAAATATTAAGTTCGGTGTAAATACATTAAAACAATTATTCATATTTCGACCCAGCGCGATTCATTGAACAGTTTGAGCATATGAAAATTCGACGTTATTCTTCATTTAAAGTGTCAGTACATGAATATACGTTACATCATGAACTTTAACGCAGCATTTCAGGATGCCTCTATGCTTCGCGGAAGCTACTTCACCGTTGTGGTGACATCCTTGTCGTGAACAGGCTGTAATCATTATTTCACCGTCTCCATCGATCCGAGAAACGACGGTTGCTAGGTCGGCGAGGGAATATTTCACGCAATGCATTTAAGAACGGCGGGTGATACATCGGCATGTTATAGAAATGCAACGTGCACACCTTTTGGAGGGACATTAGGGATGAAAGCAGCACATCATTTTTAAAGGAGTAAATTAACTCTCTATTCTTCTATTCAAATATATTCAAATTTTTCTTTCTTTCATTGCTTCGGAAATTTTCACTTATAAATTAGAAAGTAAAAATGAAAAAGAATATACTATTTTAATCATTATTAAAAATATTTTTTCTTTAGAGATTCGTATTTTTTGTTGCATGTGCTACAATATTTTCGTTACTAACTAACCTGAAATTGTATTTGAGAAATGGCTATAGAAGTTGAAGCGTCAGATTTTACGTCTTCTGTAATACGATAATTCTTTAACGTCCCTAAAGAATATAATTACACGGTTTAAAACAGAATAAAGATACATAAAGTTATAATGATGGAAACCTAGATAAATATTAATAAAATAAAGGTGAATAAAAATGTTGACCAACTTCATAGTGTATAATCGACTCAAGTTGGAGTAGATGTGACATTAATTAGATAGCTGGTGAGGTAGATACCTTCTAATAATTAAATATGGTTTATTAGAGGTGTTGTCTGGTATCAAAAATGTATTTTGCCAATGAGAGTTTCGATCGCGTAGCGATCATACTCAGAGCTTAAATTAGAATTATCGAAATAAAATTACATTAATATATATAATATATATATATATATATATATTATATATATATATATATATATATATAAATAGGTAAAGTTAGTACAAAAATTTATATACAAAATATAAGATTGTATGCGTAAA